GATTCATGCTCCACTGGTCTCCAGAGGTATTTCTGCGTTGTTTTGAGAAAAGTCAATTTTTGGCCAAATTTGGTTCAAAATGTAAGGCTAACCCCTTGTTTTTTTTTTTTTCAATTTTGGCCAAAAAATGAAATTCCTTGAAACTTGCAGGAAAGATGCCTAAGGTAACCCTGAACACATTCCAATTCAATTTGGGAACAGATGTGCATTTGAAAAGATAATTTGGCTGAAAATTTAGGGTAAAAACAGTCAAAATTTGGTTTTATTTACATGTATTTCCTCCCTCACAAGTGGATGATATTTGCCTAGATCTGCCAAAATGTGTGTGTTTGAATAATGATTCATGCTCCACTCGTCTCCAGAGGTATTTCTGCGTTGTTTTGAGAAAAGTCAATTTATTGGCCAAATTTGGTTCAAAATGTAAGGCTAACCCTTGTTTTTTTTTCAATTTTGGCCAAAAAATGAAATTCCTTGAAACTTGCAGGAAAGATGCCTAAGGTAACCCTGAACACATTCCAATTCAATTTGGGAACAGATGTGCCTTTGAAAAGATAGTTTGGCCGAAAATTTAGGGTAAAAACAGTCAAAATCGGTTTTATTTACATGTATTTCCTCCCTCCAAAATGGATGATATTTGCCTAGATCTGCCAAAATGAGGGTGCTTGAATATTGATTCATGCTCCACTCGTCTCCAGAGGTATTTCTGCGTTGTTTTGAGAAAGTCAATTTTTGGCCAAATTTGGTTCAACATGTAAGGCTAACCCCTTGTTTTTTTTCAATTTTGGCCAAAAAATGAAATTCCTTGAAACTTGCAGGAAAGTTGCCTAAGGTAACCCTGAACACATTCCAACTCAATTTGGGAACAGATGTGCCTTTGAAAAGATAATTTGGCCGAAAATTAAGGGTAAAAACAGTCAAAATTCGGTTTTATTTACATGTATTTCCTCCCTCACAAGTGGATGATATTTGCCTAGATCTGCCAAAATGTGGGTGTTTGAATATTGATTCATGCTCCACTCGTCTCCAGAGGTATTTCTGCGTTGTTTTGAGAAAAGTCAATTTTTGTCCAAATTTGGTTCAAAATGTAAGGCTAACCCCTTGTTTTTTTTCCAATTTTGGCCAAAAAATGAAATTCCTTGAAACTTGCAGGAAAGATGCCTAAGGTAACCCTGGACACATTCCAATTCAATTTGGGAACAGATGTGCCTTTGAAAAGATAATTTGGCCGAAAATTTAGTGTAAAAACAGTCAAAAATCGGTTTTATTTACATGTATTTCCTCCCTCCAAAATGGATGATATTTGCCTAGATCTGCCAAAATGAGGGTGCTTGAATATTGATTCATGCTCCTCTCGTCTCCAGAGGTATTTCTGCGTTGTTTTGAGAAAAGTCAATTTATTGGCCAAATTTGGTTCAAAATGTAAGGCTAACCCCTTGTTTTTTTTTCAATTTTGGCCAAAAAATGAAATTCCTTGAAACTTGCAGGAAAGATGCCTATGGTAACCCTGAACACATTCCAATTCAATTTTGGAACAGATGTGCATTTGAAAAGATTATTTGGCCGAAAATTTAGGGTAAAAACAGTCAAAATCGGTTTTATTTACATGTATTTCCTCCCTCACAAGTGGATGATATTTGCCTAGATCTGCCAAAATGTGGGTGTTTGAATATTGATTCATGCTCCACTGGTCTCCAGAGGTATTTCTGCGTTGTTTTGAGAAAAGTCAATTTTTGGCCAAATTTGGTTCAAAATGTAAGGCTAACCCCTTGTTTTTTTTTCAATGTGGGTGTTTGAATATTGATTCATGCTCCACTCGTCTCCAGAGGTATTTCTGCGTTGTTTTGAGAAAAGTCAATTTTTGGCCAAATTTGGTTCAAAATGTAAGGCTAACCCCTTGTTTTTTTTTTTTTCAATTTTGGCCAAAAAATGAAATTGCTTGAAACTTGCAGGAAAGGTGCCTAAGGTAACCCTGAACACATTCCAATTCAATTTGGGAACAGATGTGCCTTTGAATGAAATTTGGCCGAAAATGTATTGTATTTCCTCCCTCCAAAATGGATGATACTTGCCTAGATCTGCCAAAATGTGTGTTTGAATATTGATTCATGCTCCACTCGTCTCCAGAGGTATTTCTGCGTTGTTTTGAGAAAAGTCAATTTTGGGTCAAATTTGGTTCAAAATGTAAGGCTAAAGCCAAAAAAAAAGTCTCCGGTTTCTGGTATGGAGCTTGCCCAAAAAGTGGTGCGGCAACGCGGCTTTTTTTGGTTTTTTACCTGTTTATTTTGCTTCAAATGTCGGCTGATGACTGCAAATGGTGCCCGACTAAACTTAGTGAAAATATATGGGAGTCCAGAGAGGCCACATAAAACTTATTTTTGATCATAACCCCATAAAAAAAAACATGTTAAAATTGTGCAGCAGCAGGATTCCAGTCAAACCAGTGAGTTTGGCGGTTTTGAGACATCATCTTTTATTGAAAAAAAAAATAAATTCATTTTGCCGATGCGCATGGCTACGGCGACGCGCGCGCATACCAGAAACCCGGAGACTTTTTTTTTTGGGCCTTAAAGCAGTAAAGGCTTCTTTTCCATTTTTTTGTTTTTGTTTACAGATTCATAAACGGTAATTGGTAAAGGGCTCGCATTTCCTTTTTCTTTATACGATTTTATACACTCATTGATTGGACGGTATGTACACGGATCAGCGCTTGATTTGTTCGCTGAATCTATTAGGCTATTCTGTTCATAAACAGTCCATTGACAGAAATTGTGGCTCATTTAATTGGTGGAGCAGCAAAATGCCTCAGAATTTGAGTCCGAGCTTTACGGAGAAATATTGCATTTTTGTGCGTGGAGCTAGAATCCAGAATCCCAAGTTGTACATCTAGCAGGACATTTTTTGCTGGTGACATGTTTCTGCTGAACAAATATTTTCCAAAACCAAATTTCAGCAGCCCCATGGAACTGTCCCCTTGAGACTATAATTATGCAAATATATTATACAGCCCTCAACCGTGAACTGTGAAATTTGTACATTGACACTTGTACAAAAGAAAAGTAGGAGATTGAAATGTTATGCCTCCTGTGTTAGAAGACCATAGAAAATGTAGTAATTGTGTATTCCAATATGGTTGCTACACATGTAAGAAATTCAGTGTTTCATCTCGCCAAGTAGGTTATGTTAACCGGACAGGGGAGTCAGGTTGGCGTATAGTCAGGTGGCTTAGATCTAATTTTCGTCAAGATCGTGACCGACTGGTCCAAAGCACCAAACTTGGCAGATAGATTCTTATAGACCTAGAGAAGATATTTAGAAGGGGTGACACCCGAAATTCTTTTGGGAAGGGTGCCTAATTTGCATAAATCGTTAATCCCTGCCGTGTAATATATTTATTCCCATATTTGGGTATATTTTTATTTTTATTTTTTTTTGAAAAGTGTATTTTGGGGATTCTACTTACAAATCTTTACTTAAATCGCATTTTCCAAAGCATATAAGTGACTGAATAATTATGAGGACATAGTAACGATCCAAAATGGCTACTATTATGCCCTAAATTGCGCGCCTTTACCTTGTCCCCAGATATCATCAATTAGTCTTGCCAAACATCACTGCATCAGCATTGATGAACTTCAAATTCACCACGTAGCTTACTGGTACAGTTACCCTATTGAAACCTTATGCAAAATCATGTGAACAATGAGAACATTGTGTTATTAAGCCCAGAAAACAAAAACTGGGGAAAAAACGAGGTGTCCATAAATTGGGCTAACAAGTAAGGTGAAGGGTTGCCTAACATGGAAGACTGGAACAAGTTCAAGGAAATTCCCAAAATTATTGTTGAGAAAACGTTTTGGCGTAGACAAAATTATTGTAAACAACAATAATCTCTAATTTGGGGGATTTTGTTGAACTTGTTCAAGTCCCCACGTTACCCTTCCCGTAGTAGCCCAATTTACGGACACCACATTTTCTCCCTTTTTTTGGTCTTTTGGGCCAAACATCAAGATGATATCAATTTTAACATGATTTCCCACTTATGTTTGTTAGGTTAACTATGTCAGTAAGTACCTTTGTGAATTTGAAGCTCATCAATACCCAAGTTTGGCGAGACTAGTTGATGATATCTGAGGAAAAGGTAAATGCGCGTAACTTTAGGGTAAAATAGTAGCCATTTTGGTGATTTACTATGTCCTCTTAATTATTCAGTCACTTACATGCTTTACAAAATGTTATTGAACTAAGAATATGCAAGTAAAATCACCAAAATACACTTTTCAAAAAAATTAAAAAAATAAAAATATACCCAAATATGGGGAAAATATATTACACGGCAGGGATTAACGATTTATGCAAATTAGGCACCCTTCCCAAAAGAATTTCACGTGTCACCCCTTCTAAATATCTTCTCTAGGTCTATAAAAATCTATCTGCCAAGTTTGGTGCTTTGGACCAGTCGGTCACGATTCCGACCATATGCCACCTGACTAGTAGTGGTACTTTCCTCGCCTTCCACCGCTGTGACCCAGGTTCGAATCCTGCCTGGGCCAATATGTGGATTGGGTTTTCAGTGTCTGCCTGATTCCGTGGATTTTCCCCAGAATATTCTTCTGGGTTTTTCCTCCCACCTCTAAAACTGTAACTTCTTCTCATTGTCTTCTCTACAGGTTTCTTCAGGCTTGCGAGCTACAGTGCTTAGGGCGCTTTTGAGGAATCCTTGGTTTCATTACCAGAAATGATTAATAATAATAATAATAATAATAATAATAATAATAATAATAACATACAGACAAATTTTTCTTTAATATATAGGTTGCCAATATCTTTTGGAAAAATATGGTTATATAATGTAAGGACTTTATATTGTATTTTTTCTTGGCTTGTACTGATAACCCATACAGGCAGATGAACTCTCCAAATAGAGTAAAAATTATCTGAATTTGTTGTTGGGGAAGAGTAAAATAATGCAAATAAAAAAATGAAGAATTGCTTTTGAAACATTTTTTTTTAATCAATATTTTATTACAGACAAATGTGCTGAAAGCGTACTCATGACAAATGTACATTATATACATAGATATAAAGAAATGTGATCGTCTTATATTTCCCCATATGTGTAACTTGATAAATAATTCATAATAGTGAAGACTTCAGTTTACCATTAAAACAAAGGTTCACAAAAGTTTTGCAACAAAAAAAAACAAATTATAAAAACCTTGTGGTCAATTCATGAACTGAAAAAAAAAATGATGAATGGAAATAAAGACTATTTTACAAGACTCATGAAAGGTCCTGGTTTAGTCAAGTCCATCAAAAGTCCTTTTACAAACCCCCAAACTAACAGTGTTGGACAATAAAAATGAAATAGTTTTGGCAGAGTTCATCTGAATAGATTTTGACTCATCTTGAGATTGTGAGGGCTTGTAATGGATTTGTGAGAACTTGTCAGGACTTGTAGGGACTTGTGCGAGCTTTTGATGACTTATGAGGACCTGTGAGGAGTTGCGAGAACTTTGGTTGACTTTTGAGCACATGTGATGGACAAGGGAGGACTTGTGATGGATGTCTTTGGACATATGATGACTTGTGAGGACTTGACTACACCACTGATGCCAACTCTCATTAGAAGACTTTCTTGTTGATGACAGCAAACTTCACAATGTCCCTGAATGTGTTCTCCACGGCCTTGTGCAGGACTCGGTCGCTGTTCCGTAGATTGAGCTCCTCGGGTCTTGGCTGAGCCCCCTTGGAGATAAACAGTCCCAGGCTACTGTTGTCCAGCTCTGAAGAAATGGGTAGACGTAAATGTATCAAAAGAAACAGACAGTTTCTTTTAGAAGAGCCATTAAAACCATCCTGCTGTCTGAGCAGTGACTCACAGGCAAACAACCCATCCTGTTCCCCTGTCATGCCTTTATACACAGGCTAGTCACCACCAGTCAAATAAGGAACAACAAAAAAGTCTTCGGTTTCTGGTATGGAGCTTGCCCCAAAAGTGGTGCGGCGACGCGGCTTTTAAAAAAAAAACATTTACACTTTTTTTTCTGCAAATGCCGGCTAATGACTGCAAATTATGCCCGACTAAATATAGTACAAAATGTATGGGAGCCCAGAGAGGCCACATAAAGCTTGTACTCGATCGTAACCCCATCTAAAACACGTTAAAATTGTGCAGCAGCAGGATTCAAGTCAAACCAGTGAGTTTGGCGGTTTTGAGACATTATCTTACATAGAAAAAAATTTGCCGACGCACATGGCTATGGCGACACGCGCACAGACCAGAAACTGGAACCTTTTATTTGGCCTTTCATTGCCGGAAGCATTGTAACTAGTCAGATTCCATTAGGAGCCATTACAACAGATCACAAGAATTTAAAGATACAGTCCATCATTTGCAGCTATCCAAAAAGTAAATGACGTAATTATTGTCGAAAAACATACTTGGTTGGAAGATAGTAAGGGAACTAGACTTCCTGTGAAATTATTCTTTCTGGCAAGCTGTCATTTGAAGAAATCAACGAAAGAAGGCCTTTCCAAAATTTGTTAGTAGTTTGTTTTGTTTTTTTATTCGCGGAGTGCGCGCTTGCACGACGCACACGCATGCGCGGTTGCTATAATTTGTTGGATTGGTGCGCGACTTAGCTGCAATTGGCTCAGTGAGAACGTACGCTGAATTCAGGCCCAATTCAAAACATGATTCAGCAACTTTTGATTTGAAATCGAGATCATAGAATGTTGTTTTTCTTGAAATATTCAGCTGAGGCTGAGCTGAATCATCATCAGGTTAGTTGTTCGGCACCCTTTTTTAGATTTTGGGCACTTTTGTTGCTTCAAACGAACAAAATGCACAAATTACAAATGATGGACTATACCTTCACTAAGACAATATAGTTCTCAATATTTGCAAGTTGTCATCAGTTGGAAACAGTGTCCAAATTCAAAGGAAAAGTCCTACCTCTGTACATTGGAGTATTGACTGCAGCTAGCCGTGACACGCACATGCGTCCGATTTGGGTCAACAACGAGGTCACGTCCTCGTACATGGGAGGGAAAGCCTGGCATATTCTCACCAATGAGGGCAGTGTTGGCAGGAAGAACTGACACAGGCTCTCGCTGGGTAGGACTACAGTGAATATTGGCAGGGAAAAAAACATTTACATAAAAATAAGTTGAAGAATTAAAAAAAAACCATCAGAATTCAGCATCTTGTTGAAATGAAGATATTTGATGGATTTTCATGCAATCTGGAAGCAACAAACCAAAGTAACTGCCAAACATTACAAGACTTCACACAGTATTTTTTTTTCTTCAATTTTTATTGGCATAATTGAAAAGATTTGAAAATCAAAACGAGGAAATCGGCTTATCCACGGAAAAGTTGCATGCCTGATCATTAAAAAGTTGAGAACAGATTTTGACAAGAGCAGAGTTTGAACCTGCGACCTCCGGATAGCTGTTCCAGTGCTCTACCAACTGAGCTATCCAGCCCTATGTTTGCATTCCAGGTTTTATCAATGTCTTTGTTCAAGGGGTGCAGGTCAGAAGCCATAAATTCATAAATACCAAGCGGCAAAGATCACTCCCAAAGTCACAATTCTAGCAGCATCAGCGATGCTTCAAGACTTCCTTTTCACGATATTGCTGAATTTCCTTCAATGCCAAGAATATTCCATCAACAGAAACTTGTCCAGAATGTTAACAAATATCTGCATTTTTTTTTACCTGTAAGAAGTGTAGACATGACATTGATGGCTAGTCTGGCAACACTCAGAGACTTGGGCAGAGCAAACTGGAGACAGAGGTGGGACACTAGTTCAACAGCAAAAATCTGGCAGGATAAAAATAAAAACATGAATATTAGCTGCTTGAAATAAGGGAATAAAAGTTTTTAGTCAAAATTAGAGTACATGTAGGCCTACGACAAAGTTCATTGTCAGTGACAAAAACCTATATTCAAAAACTGCTTAATAAAAATATGTGAAGAAACAATCACAAGCAACATATAGTTTTGGATGGAAAGTTGTTATTGCTAAGCAAAATGTTTTCTGTGCTAAGCAAAATGTTTTCTGTGCTTAACAAAATTTGCGTACATAGCAGCATAATGAAGTCTGGAATTGTTGATAGTGGGTTTAACTTAAAAAAAGGAGGAGGGCACGTTAAAGGTTTTTGTTTGTGTATTTATGATTTATTTGTACAAACCTGTTTATCTGTTTGTGGTTGGCTGAGAAGTTCCGGTATGAAGTCCAGACAGATGTGCATGGACGGAATACCAGCTACGGTGATTGGGAGCAGCTCGGTGGCATAGCCTTGGAAGTGGATGAGCTTGGCTAGGTTTGGGTCCGCGATAAACATCTGATGGAGCTGGGAACAAACCAGGCACTGCACCTCACGTAGCCAGCTCAGCTTACTGGAGACTTTCTGTCAGGAAAAATTCATGAGAAAACAAACACCAGAGATTAGAGACTTCTAGAAAGGGGTTTGCGGTTGGCAGGATGAGGAAATCAGTATCTTTCACCATGAACATGATGAAGAAGTTACAGGTCTGAAGAAAAAAAACCTGGCTCTTCAATACTTCTTCAGTAACGTTTTGGACAGTCTTCTCTGTCCTCATAGAAGTCCTGCTGGACATCAACACTCAATGGTCTTGTTCACTAACTCAAATTTCTAGAAAATATCTAGCCAAGTTCATGTACAATGTAGCTGGCACAGATGAAACTTGATGACACAAAAAATCTCTGTCATAAGTCTATGGGCCCCCATAAATTTTAAAGAAAATACATGTATATAATGGGGGAAATTAATGCTTCCGATGTTGGAAATGGTTTCAGTGAACAGCCTCATGGACTGACTTAAAAACAAGACTGGGCAAACCTAGTAAGCTGGCCAGACCACTGTGTCTAAGTAGGTCTAGGTCGTCATGTTAGTCATTTTTTGGGGAGGGGGGGGGGCAAGGTGAGACAAGCAGAAAAATGTCTTAATTATCTGAAAAGGTACTTAAAACATCCTACAACAAAAGTAATTTGGGATAATATGAAAAATAGAATAATCCACGGATTTCGTACAAAATATGAGGTCAGGAGAGCTGGCCAGAATTTTCATGAAATTAAGCGTTTTGTAAAAACAAAAACAAACAAACAACACAAAAAACACACCCCCCCCAAAAAAAAAAGCCATACAATTATCAAAATAATAATTGAAATGAGATCGATAAATCAATTTTTATTTTTCTTAACAGGCCTAATTGTTAACTTGTGACTCTACCATGACACTTCAATTTAGTGTTTTCTGTTTTCTCATTTTTTTGTTGTGAATTTGAATGAAGTAAAAAAAATTTAAAAACCCTCACAACAGAAGTTGACAATTAAACAAAGTTAGCATTAACTCGTACATGAAAGGCAAATTTATAGCATCATGCTATAATTTAAAAATGACCTGTCTAATGTTTTGGGCAAGTCAATAATTATTATTTTACCCAACAGAGAAAGCATGAATTAATTTCCTAAATGGCCAACTGTGGGGATTAAATCTGTCATAAGATTTGTAACGGCATGAATGTCTCTCTGTTTTTTCCCATTTTTTTGCATAATTTCCACTTATTTTCTACTGCTACACCAGACAGGGCTTTAACCATCATGACAAATGATACAATCCTACTGCACTGATGAATAACAAGTTCACCGCTAGCTGTGCTACTGACCTGATGCTGTTTGACCTCGCACAATAACTCCCCAAAATATAACTAAACTCCACAAGTATTGAAAAGATTATCAAAGAATTGATTCAAGTTTAGTGAAAGGTAAATTCTAAAGCACAAAATCAGGTGACCCACTTACAGATTGTGCAAATAAACTGAGTCACCATCTTTGCTAATGCTGTTGTACTGCAAAAGTTTGAGCTGAAATATCCTGTTTAGAGAGTGCAGAATGCTTTATGCAAGGCTGACCATTTTGTTCTGAGTCAGCCAGCTTATATGAAACCATCATCTGGGGGTTGTATTTGTTTGTGACTGCACTAAAGGTGAGTTTTAATGTAGGACAGTTTTGTGCAATAACCAGTACTGTTAGATTGTCCAATTCCTCAATTGACAAAAAAAAAGCAAACCGCAGGAATTTGCAAGTTAATAAAAGGTTTTTGCTAGACATGATCTTTATGACAATGACACAAAGGGTGGTGATTGGTCAAAAAGCATCAGCTGACCCTAATTCATGGATGTGGAGGAAAACATGGCTGCCTTAGTGATGAAACAATTAAATGCAGACACTGCTCAGTGACATGGAAATTTGTTTTTCTTCAATTAACACTTAGCTCCAATCAGACAGCACTTCAACAATGACAAAAGAATCAAAATAACCGCTCTTTTGCACTGTATTTTGTTGCTCCTCTGGCAATGGGAAAAGAAATGCCATTTTCTCACCTGACTAATTGCATCCATTAACAGGGTGTTTAAACAAATGAAGCAGTCAAACTGAGAAAACTCCATTAAAAAATTGCCATGAGATGATAGAGTGTTTCTTTACCCTTGACAGGATTTTTGTTGTGTGATTTAGACCTTTTGTAAAGTTATGTCAAAGCTTGTACATTGTATAAGGACTGTCAAACTGTTTGGGCCACTTTCTTCACCTTCTTGGTATGTGAATGTATTTGATTATAGATACCAAGTGGCCCAACTTGGAATTCAAGTAATTTCATTTTAATAATTAGCTGTATCTCTGACTCAGATGGGATAAAGACCATTGTGTGGAGTATTTACTACACCCATAAGTTTTGCAAAAAGAGAATGCTAGTATTTTCAATATTTCTGATGCGATCAAGCGAAATGAGTGTGTCGGGAATTTTTATTTGGAGATTCAGGCCAAAATAGGGCCACTTTCATCAAATCACTTCATAACATCTCTTGGTGTTCCGACTTCCATAATTTTTGAACTAAAGATGGTACCAGCATGAAGTGTTCACATCAGTAATGCTGAGATTGTGCTCTTTTGAAATCTGTGATAAAACTTTTTTTGACCAGGGTTGACAAACGACTTGTGTAGCTTGATCGCTTCACATTTATGGATTGACTGCTGCATATATTTGAAGACATCATGTACATGTACGTTCTTACTTATGTAATCAGCTTGTGAAGATTGCCAGATGGCCATGTAAGTCACAATTAATCTAGAGGTCAAGAAGCCATTGTTTCGAATAATTAATCACCAAAAACTGAGCAGATGTAGACTTTGGCGGCACTACTGTCTACTTTATAGAATTTGTAACGAAGACCAAAAACCAGGTAGGTTGGTCCAAGTTAAAAGAAAACAATGAGCTTGCCTCGACTCGAATCTGATTAACCACGTCATGCCGTGTCTCAAAAATGTTCCATTTTGGTTGAATACCCAGGTCTGTTTGAACTCCTGCAACATTTCTGAAGTTGAGTAAAAATGGCGACTGGCGGTACAGCCGAGGTTCTGGGGAAGATCAGCCAGGATCATCTCCAATGCGCCATCTGCTTGAGCCGTTACAATGAGCCCAAATTACTGGACTGTATACACAGTTTCTGCTTGAATTGCCTCCAACATCACAGAGAAAGTGAAGGTCCGAATGCAATGAAAATCATGTGTCCTCTGTGTAGACAGGAAACCACACTGTCAAGAAATAGTGTTGAAGATTTGCCTACCAATCTCTCCCTGAGTGCCTTAGTGGAGGAGTTTTCAATACAGGAACAGCTTCTAGAAGGTCAAGAGTCACAGATCCAATGTCAAAGCTGTGATGACGAAAATTGGGCAATTTCATTTTGCATGGAATGTGCTCATTTTATGTGTCAAGACTGCCACAAAGCACACGCTCGCCTGGCAGTAACAAAATCTCACAAAACCTTCACGATGGCTCAACTTCAAAAGAGAAAGATAAGCTACAAGAGTAAACTAAGAGAAGAACCAAAATGCGGCAAACATGCCAATCAGAATCTCAACATTTTCTGCAACACATGTCAGCAGACGATGTGCATTACGTGCTCCATTCTGAAACATCAAAAGCACTCTTTTGCTGACCTATCAGAGGCCTTCAACAAATGCAAACAAGAAATTGCAAAGCTGCTGACAAAGGCCGAAAAGAAGAAAACTGCACTGAGCAATGCCAAAAAGATGACAGTCAAATCTCGCAAGAAACTGGAATTCATGTTTGAAACCACCAACAAGAAGATCTCCCAAAAGGCTGACAAGGAGGTTGCTAGGATCAGGGCTTGGGAGCAGAAAATAAAAAAAGAAGCGAAGGAGATCTACGAAGACAGAGTCAAGACATTTGAGACAACAGAAAACACCAACAACGAAGAGCTGAAAGTAGCAGAGCAGACACTGGATGAGGTCAACAAAATCATGACAGAAGAAATTCAGACTCAGATTTTGGATCTCAAACGAAAACTCTTGCACAACCTCAAGGAGTTGATGGAGAAACAACCAGAAAATGTGCCTTATCAATTCCACTTCATTGACTTCCACGAAGGTGATGAGAAGTCGCTAGGAAGGCTGGTTCTGAAATATGACTGGAGACTCGAGACGGAGGTAAAGCAAGACATGGCAAAAGACATAATTTCTGTCGCAGTTTTCTCCAATAATGAAATTGTCACAGTAGACAACAGACACAAGGAACTTGTGACACACTCGCCGACAAGCAACCCCCAATCCCCCTTCATCTCCCAGAAGCTACGGATGCCAGACCTGAGAGATCCACACCAAGTTGCAGTCAACCGATTGGACCAGCTCATCGTACTTGACGGTCCTGTCGTCAAGACCTTCAGCAGAGAATACGAGCTTCTCCATCAGTTCCAGCCAGGAAGAGGGTCAGACAGCAAACCAACCTGCCTGGCAGTGGATGACAACAATCTGATAGCAGTGGGCTACCAGGTATGCACGTCATGTAAACATGTTTGGGATTTTAAAGAAAACAATCCACCATGTACAGAGTTGTAAGGACTCACTGAATTTTGTTGAGTCTAGTCATTTTTATAAGGAAGTGACTAGAGTTGAGTCAAGTTGAGTAACAGTGTGTGGTCGAGTCGAGTCAAGTAAAGTTTATACTCGAGTCAATTCCAGTCACTTATATTTGAACACTATCTAATAAACTAAAGAATGGAAGAAGAAACACAAGGATTTGACATCTTTTGTACCCAATAAGCATCCATAATGTGATGGTGTAGTACATGAACAGAAATAATTTTGAACCAGGAGTCACCACAAATATATTTTTGCACAGTTTTGTGTTTCCAGTGTTATTTGCCTTCGACTCGAGTAGAGTCAGGTCTTCTGATGAGTGACTCGAGTCAAGTCCTATCAATTGCTCACAATGAATTAAGTTGAGTCGAGTCAGTCACCCATTCAGTCTCAAGTCGATTCAAGACGCAAAAAATTGTGACTTGAGTCAGACTTCAGTCCAGCCATTGACTTGAGTCATTATTTCTCTCTGACAATGCATTCCACAAATTGTGTGTGATGTTTCAATATCCATCATTATCTACCAAAAGAGTGAATTTTTGTCTGTCCCTTTTACCGGTACCTTGGTTCTTTGCGCTCGACATGGTGTCACATGATGTCCTCGATCGCAATGCATCGCATCGTTACCTGGGCACTTTGCCATTCAAGTATCATTGAGACTAAAACTTTTTTAAAAAGTTTTATATTGGTTCTGTATGCAGTTCAAAATCACTCTTGAAGGACGAATGCATTCAGGAGTGATCAAAATCATAAAAGCATAGATGTCAGATGTAACAGGGTCAGGAAATAAAGTGGACCCCAATTTATAGAATGACTCATATTCCGCCAGGCCAATCATCAAGTTGACTCTCATTGAACTGCAACAAAAGCACGCCACACATCATGGTCTTCCATGGCCGTCCTGATCTCGGCTGCAGAGGTTAGCCCAGTATCACGATGCAGCTGGTCCACGTAGGCCAAATTCAGTACTCAATCTGTGCAACTACAGAGTTCTGGAGTAAGCAGCATTCTTTGTAAAAGGGTTGGCTAAAGAAATACGTTCCAAACGATTGTAAAACTTAAATACATAGATTCCTTTCCTTAATTACTACCATCACCAGGCAAAGCAAGAGATCAGCTTACACAAACCAGACGGAACGCTCCTCAAGAAACTACCGGCACCGATGATCGCGTTCCAACTGACCATCAGCAACAAGCGGTTCATCTACATCAATGGCCTGAAAGAGAAAATGGTGGCACTACACTACACCGGCGGGCAACTATTTGAAGTGGACACGACCAGTCCAAAGAGTATCTGCTGCGACAATCAACACGGCAACATCTACGTTGCGGAAGGCGAATTTTCCTTGCCAAATACAACAGATATTCACGTCTTCAGTTCCAATGGTAAATCCATCGGGTGTATCATCAAGCAAAGTACTCACGCACAAGACATGACCTTTACACCTGCAGGTGATCTGGTGTTAGGTGGATGGGGCCCCTTACAAATCTATCGACGTGTTTGAAAACTGAAGAATGAAACAATTTAAACAGTTCTGGAAAAGAAACAAATTGCTCATAATATGGCTACAAAACTAGGATCCCTCGGAATAATTGTATCCAGTAATGGATGGATGACCTCTTGATAACCCCCCCCCCCAAAAAAAAAGGAGTTTGAGGGAATTCTTTTAAGAGGGACACTTAGAATGACAAAGCAATGAAGTGGAAAGGACCATGGATTTTTAAAACAAATTATTATCAAAATTAAAAACAAAACAAAATTCTGATTTACAGAAAAATTTTCAATTGATAATTTACAAGATACAATCAATGCTTATAAAACAGAAAAGAATAAGTTGTGAGTACTCTGTGCTATCCGTGCATGAACATGAACGCAGTGGGTCTGGTCCACTAGCCCTTCGAAAGTGGTCAAAATGAATGCACTCTTGTTTTACTATACTCCAGAGGACACTGCTTTGTGCTTTCTTTTGTCCCTGTAAATATAACACTCTCCCATAGACTAAGCACACAAACCTATTACAGAGGACCGTTTTAAACAAAAGATCCAACTCCTGAGGAATGAAGGATCTGTTGTTCTCCCTTTGTGTGTCTGTCCTCGGGCGTTATGCAGAATACATACACCCTCCCTTGTTCGTGTATGGAGCCCAAATAGGCCATTTCTGTCAAAGGGCCTTTCCTTTTGTAAATATACGTGTATTTTGGTTTAAGCATTGTCGGGAAAAAAAATGCTGGATTTAAGCCAATTATAAATAAAACTAAAAATGTATTGACTAAACGGTCAAGCTTTTGGGCAAGATTCTTTTTTGCATACATCATGGTGAATTTTTGAAGTCTGCATGTTAGTATGAACTGCATCAATTTAAGTACTTAATGAATCAAAATGACAGTTTGGGGAGAGGGCAATATGAAACGGAAATTAGGCTTGGGAAATTTATTCTCAAAATTTATTAAACTGTGAGTCAAAAATCTATGACTCCCTAAATAGAGATGTCCTTGTTAATTTTACTCCACTAAATTAATAAATAACTGTATGAAAGAAAGGAGTTCATGAACAGACAACTATGGTCAAAGTTAAAGTTAGAGAAGTTGAAGTAGAGTTGAGGCAAAGTTTAAAAGAACAAAGACAACACATTAAGATATTCTTCTGGACTTTTTAAGAGCTATTTTACTGTAACAGTTTACTAATTTTTACGCTTGTATATGGCTTGCATTTTCATTATATCAATTTTTTTTAAATAGTACTTTTATTATTCTTGAATATGACCCAATAAACCCATGGATCCAGGTGGTGGGAGGGTTCAAACGAAATCAGAAAAAAAATCTTAAACTTTTAAAAACAATTTACATTTTGTTTTCGGGGGCAGGACCTATATCTCCATTCTCCATATACTTCCAGGGCTGCATTCTTTATATAATGATCCTTGGTAATCATTATTGTGTTATACTAATTTTTGTAGAGTGATTTATACCATAAACACATTTTCAGAATGAAAACTTGTGTGTTACAAAATTGTCACACAGCATCTAAAAAAATCGGGGGGGGGGGGGGGGGAATGGACGGAAATTGTTGTTGCTGCAATTTTCAGAGACATTTTGGTGATAGGTTATAATTATATACAAGTTTGCATATATACTCATATATACCTTAAAGCTTAATGCATGTATTCAAAGTATTTACTTTAAAATTAGCTGGCCTGATAATGCTGTCTTATATAATAAGACCATCTTCCGAAGAGGGTAATTACTTAAAGGACAAAAGGAGAGAGGCAGTAGGTGAAGATCAAGGGGAATGAAGAGAGGGAATACAGAGTGGGTGAGTATCAAGGGGGCCATGCTGGGTGTCCCCTAAATTTGTTTTGTACCACTGTCATTTGCCTCTGAAAAAGCTCTTGTTAAGAACCGCAACGTCAGGCCAGCTAATATTGTTGATTTGTATGTATACATTACAAGTCAATCCATTTTAATTCATTTTCAAAGAATTTACTTGTTTTAAACTCCTCAATGACTGTGTGTATTTTTAAACTCTGAAAGCTGGTATTTGATTTTCCATAAATAGGTGTTGGTCACAAGATTTGTACCAATTTACATTTTACATGTACGGTATGCTCCTGACCTTAAGGTGTTTGGTTTGTAAGATCTTAGTGTTTACCGGTTGGTCTCAAATTGGTTACAGTCTTGTTAACATGTACCAGAGGGAGGAAATTGTGTCTGTGATAATTAAGTAGAATTGTACCCATAGTTACATGCCACTTTGTAAGTTTAAAGCGAGAACTTTAGAAGGATATTCTATGTAGTAAAGTGATACCAGAACGGCAAAAATGGTATGAAGACCACTCGAGACAAAAATTGAAAAATGAAAAATTCACCAGAGAGATTGATCTTGCTTGAACACTGACTTGATTCTGGATTGTAATACATGTTTATGGCCACTACTTTCTGAGATATCACATCTGAGGTTGCCTGATTCCTGGTCCACTGACTTTGGATGTGAGTCTTGTAGGGCAATCCCAGGGTCGTCTTTGCTGGAGTTAGCCACAAGTCAACTCCAGACTTGAGCCAATCTTTCCACTTTTGCACTCTGGTGGATTTCAAGAATAAGTTTTCTAAAAGCTGATGTATGCTAATGCTACAAAATACTACTAAGTAGCAACCTGTAGTAAGCATTTCTTTCCATACAAGTGAGCACAGAACATGTAGTATTCTGTGGTATTTGGTACTTGACCCCCACACAGCCCACAAAATCCTATTCCTAATCCTATTGCATGTTCCCTTTAAGCATTTCTCATTCAAAACAATTATTGGCAAGCATGAATTATTACAGCCAATGAAATATAAAATGTTAGTGGCTTCTCCGTACCAATAATTGATGCAATTGGCCATTTTCAACACACCAACACAACCACAACAATTGTATATATATATATTTGAGGTTGGGAGACATCTGGGTCATGGTCATGGCCACTGGGGTATAGTATGTATGTTCCAATGCATGGGCGTGTGAAATTGTGTTGGTTGAGAACTGTTCATGTGTCATACTGCAAAAGTTAATGATCGACTCCACATAATAAACAACTCATGTTCGCCAGTAACGTCATCATTCTTTGTTCTCAAAGACTTACTGTACGTACATTTTCGCTCCAGCTGCTATGTACGACACAGCTACATGTTTGTATAATTGTATTAATGGACCCTGAACGCGAGGTACATGTAGGTGTGTCAACACAGATGCGCATAAGTTCATCAAAGCCTGAAGCATTGGACTGTTCAATTGAAATGCATGGGGGTGTTATATAAACTGACAAATTCTGTTTTTATGACAAAGAAAATTTAATTGTTGCTTCTTATGACGTACGTTTTTTTGTAGTTCACAGAGCACTATTTTCTACATGAATTTTGTATCAAAAAGAAAATAATAGTAATCTTTAAAAATCCAAATGAAGTCTGTTTGGAGAATTTTTCTGCAACGTAAATGGTTTCCTATTTTGGGAATTCTTTGCTCCCTTGGGTATATAAAACACCAAGGACTATATCATAACAGAGGATAAACGAATACTGCAATAACTCTACCCATGCATGCTGTATAGAGTTTGCGTTGTTATAAGGAGACAATGGTAACACATGGTAACAAAGACCATGCAATATGAACATAGTGTATTATAATGAAGCAAATCATGCGATTATGAATTCCCCTCCCTCATTAATTATGGATACCACTTCGCCATCTTTGTTAATGTTGTTTCAATACTGAAAACAGCCTAGAAAAGACTGAGCGTAAAACAACTTTATTTTTCAATCGAGTGAGCGGAATTCATCAGGTTGGTGTGCCTTCTGAAGGCTGTATTTAACTGCACTACAGGTGAGTTTTTTGGGCAGACACTTTCCACATTTTTTTCTCTTTTTTTGGTATTTAGCTAGCTCCGCTAAATGACTACATATATTTATCAATTGCTGACTACACAATTTCACTAGTTTAAAAATGACAATGCTAAGTTAGGCCAAAAAAAAAGGCTCCGGTTTCTGGTATGGAGCTTGTCCAAAAAAGTGGTGCAGCGACGGGTTTTTTTTTTTTTTTACCTAATTTTTTGCTTCAAATTTCGGCTGATGACTGCAAATGGTGCCCGACTAAACTTAGTGCAAATACATGTATATGGGAGTCCAGAGAGGCCACATAAAGCTTATTCTCGACCATAACCCAATCTAAAAACACGTTAAAATTGTGCAGCAGCAGGATTCCAGTCAAACCAGTGAGTTTGGCGGTTTTGAGACATCATCTTTCATTGAAAAAAAAACGTTTTCATTTTGCCGACGCGCATGGCTATGGCGACGCTCGCGCATACCAGAAACCGGAGACTTTTTTTTTGTTTGGCCTTAAAAAACTCTGCCACATCTGATCTCAAGCTGCATCAGTTCAGTATTCTGTTGTCATGGTAATACATGGTACAATGACAAATTCATCGCCACTTGTGGTACAAATCATTTTCATAGTCCAATGATCACAAAATGCATTGACAAACAATACAAGACAAGCCTAGTAAAGCTGGTCCCAGAGCCCAGAAAATTTAATGCCATTGATTCAAAATGGTTATTCACTTGTACTCTTTTCATGAATAGTCAACCTCAAGTTCAAAACCTGGTCTACCTCAAATTCAACGTACCAGGTAAGCACGTTTTCTGTGAGGATGACTATTAAAAAAACAGTCATTTAGCCCAATAACAAATCTGCAGCACATACAAGCATTGTTTGCGCAGAGCAACAAGAAACGCTCACCCACTGATTGTGTGTATTGGCTTTGGTCACATCGCCTCCAATAATGCACCGCTATGCAAAAAGCTTTACTGAAGCTGTACTACATTTCGATTTTCTATAGGTTTGTGCACAAAGATTGATGCGCTCTGCAAGTTTTACTTTGTAAAGTGAGTCAGCACTCTAGTAGTTTACACGTACATGTACATGTAGCTCTATAATTAATTACATGTACATACATCTCTTTTATTTGTCTCTTACATCAATTTTCATCAAATGTGTGCTGGTCCCAGAGGGCCAGCCCAGTGTCCTCCTTGTACCTACTGACTGACTCGTATTCATTTTGGTTGAACACAGAGGTCTGTCTGAACGTGGATAACAATGGCGACTGGTGGTACAGCTGAGGTTCTGGAGAAGATTAGCGAGCGTCATCTACAATGCTCCATCTGCTACAACCGTTTCACTGAGCCAAAATTACTGGACTGCATACACACTTTTTGCTTGAATTGCCTCCAACATCTCAGACGAAACCAAGATCCGAATGTAATGAAAATCAAGTGTCCCCTGTGTAGACGTGAAACGATCCTTGGAAGAAAAAGAGTTGAAGATTTGCCAGCTAATCTCACTCTGAGTGCCTTAGTGGAGGAGTTTACAATACAGGAACAGCTTCTAAAAGGTCAAGGGTCAGAGATCAGATGTCAAAGCTGTGATGCAGAATATGCCGCAATCTCATTTTGCATGGAATGTCCGCATTTCCTGTGTCAGAATTGTAAACGTACGCATGAACGTCTCCCTGCAACAAAATTTCATAAAACCGTCACAATGGATCAACTACGATCAGGAGAAGTTGCCTACAAGAGTAAACTAAGAGAAGAACCAAAATGTGACAAACATGCCGATCAGAATATAAACGTTTACTGCAACACATGTGAGCAGTTGGTTTGCACAACTTGCTCTGTTCTGAAACATGAAAAACACTCTCGTTCTGACATATCAGAAGCTTTTGAAGAATGCAAACAGGAAATTTCAGACCGGATCACAGTGGCTGAACAGAAGAAAACAGCACTGCGTGATGAAAAGGAATGCATGGTGAAGTCCCACAAGAAACTGGATTCCATGTTTGAGTCCACCAACAAGAAGATCTCCCAAAAGGCTGACAAGGAGGTTGCTAGGATCAGGGAGATGGAGAAGAAACTCAAGAAAGAAGCGAAAGAGATCTACAAAGACAGAGTCAAGACATTTGAGACTGCTGAAAACAACAACAATAAAAAGCTCAAAGAAGTAGAGCAGATACTGGATGAGGTGAATCAGCTCATGGCTCAAGAAATACAAAATGAAATTTTGGGTCTCAAACCTAAACTCTTGCAAAACCTCAAGAAGTTGAAGAAGAAACAGCCAGAGAATGTGCCTGACGAGTTACACTGCATTGACTTTCATGAGGGTGACGAGAAGACACTAGGAAGGCTGATTCTGAAAGATGAGTGGAGATTGAAGAAACACATTGCATATAGAACTGATTCTGTTGCCATTTTCTCCGATGAAATAGTCACAGTTAACAAAAGCAGCAATGAGCTAATGAGTCACATATCATCAAGCAGCCGCCAATCCCCTGTCACTTCCCAAACGCTCAATATGCCAGAACTGAGAGATCCAGACCAAGTTGCAGTCAACCGATTGGACCAGCTCATCGTACTTGACGGTCCTGTCATCAAGACCTTCAGCAGAAAATATAAGCTTCTCCATCAGTTCCAGCCAGGAAGAGGGTCAAACAGCAAACCAACCTGCCTGGCGGTGGATGACAACAATCAGATAGCAGTGGGCTACCAGGTATGCACGTCATGTAAACATGTGTAGTATTTTAGGGTAAAACAATGGACTACCAGTACATCTTGTGCCAAACTAACACAATGTAAGCAATTAATTCTGTGTCATGTTTTCAATATGCTGCCAGGCCTAAGCAGCATCTCATCTATACCAAACCTACTGAGGGTAAACTGGTTGCACTAGATTACAATGGTGACACGCTATTTGAGGTAGATACAAGTTTAAAGGGCCCCAATATTGTTTGTTGCGACAGTCAAGGCAATATTTACATACTGCACGAAACAAGATTTTGCAATTATTTCTCAAGACATTTGAATGTCTTCAGGCCTGATGGGCAAAACACTGGATCCCCCCTTGATGTTGACCTACCAAAATCAGGTTATTGCATGGCCTTCACACCTTCAGGTGATCTAGTGATAAGTACAGGAGAGACATTAAAATTATATCAACATGTTTAAAGACTTCCAAACTTCACGCAATTAATATCAACCCCCCCCCCCCCAAAAAAAAGAGAAGGCAAAGCTAGTAAATTTTGTCACAGAACCCATAAAACTCCATTAAACAGACAAGAATGACTATTCATGTAGAGTGATAGGTGGCTAGTTCATGTACTGGTACATATAAATACGTGGCCTACACAATGGGCTGGATTTAGCCCATTCATTGGCATTATGGGGTAATTTTAGTTCAAATATTCGTGCCTAGGTGAAAAGCAAGTCTTAAAGTAAGTATCATAGTAAACCTGCCCTCGTCATTCAAACGTGATCATTTTGCAAACAATTTTCACTTGCAAATTTGTAACAAAAAAATGTTTTGCAAGTGAAAACCAAAAACTAAAAGGCAGAAAGTATGTTTACGTAAGTAAAAGAGATTATCTTTAAAGATTGAGATGAGAAGCAGTATTTGGATAATGAAAAACTCTTATGCTTTGTAATCCAGTATGAGCTGCAGTGATCCAAATACTGGGTGATGGATTAAGGTGACTGGGGAATTAAGAATTAAAATTGGAACTTGACTTGTGAGATTTAATTGATTCAATCCATTCACAGTTGTAGTGTTGTGCATTTTTGCATTTATATTTAATATACGATTATTCTACATGTAATTTAAACTTGATCAAATATTCAAATATTAAAATCAATCAGGATTTGTGGGCACTTGCAATCATCAAACAGTGCAGGCTTATAAAAACAATACAAAGAACATATTTTGAGGTAGTGGAATGATTGATATTTGACAGATAAAAGAACAAATTTGAGCAAACAGTCCTCACAGCTCTCAAACCATGATTCTGAAGTGGCTTTAGACAAAGGCTGGCATTTGACAACAATAAAACCATGCAACTTCATCGTCTACTTGAGACTGCTCACATTTTCTTATATTTGAATGGAAAAAAAAAAGCTAATTCAGACATTTGGTGAATAACAGAATAGTCAACTAAACTAGATCTTTATGATGCTGACACCATTTCAGTCATGCTACCTGTATCCAATAACAGCACTGAATAATAACAGCAATAATATGTGATGGTACCGTAGTATGATTGTACGCGACTACCTAGGTGCATGTATAGCTCTTAAAAGGAATGAAAATTAACAACAAATATTTTGCAAGTACATGTAGTTTAAGGCTTCATTTAAGAAACCGATGCTTATTGAGGCATGCCTTGCCTTGGAAATAATGATGTCAGATCTCAATCAAATTTCAGTTTTCATGATGATCATTTACAATGTAATGTGTGCTATTAGTGACAGATGCTACCTGTATCCAACAACAGCACTGAATAATAACAGCAATAATATGTACAACAAATTGTGTGTACTGTTTTCAACATTATTGTATGCAGCCAGTGCCTCAATTCAGTGCCTCTGTCTCCTTTGCAGTGCACTAAGGCATGCAGTGTACTTGGGTAATTACCATTCTTTGTAAAGGGTTGGCTAAAAGAAAAATATTCCAAATGATTGTAAAACTTAAATATGGATTCCCACTGTTACTACTATCACCAGGCAAAGCAAGAGATCAGCCTACACAAGCCAGACGGAACCCTCCTCAAGAAACTACCAGCACCAGGGATCAGTGATCAACTGGCCATCAGCAACCAGCATCTCGTCTACATCAAACCTACTGAGGATAAACTGGCTGCACTAGATTACAATGGTAACATAGCATTTGAGGTAGATGTAAAGAGCCCCAAGAGTGTTTGTTGCGACAGTCAAGGCAACATTTACATAATAGTATCGACACACCCGAGGAGATCGATTCTGCCTGCTTTTGGCTTATATCAACAACACATTGAAATCTTCAGTCCTGATGGCCAAAACATGGGATACCTACCGGTATCCAACACTGATGACCTTCCACGTTACCCAGGTAGCATGGCCTTCACACCTTCAGGTGATCTAGTGATAGGTACATGTGATACATTACAAATCTTTCAACAAGTTTAAAGACTTCCAAACTTCATGAAATTAGCATCAATCCCCCACCCCAAAAAAGTTCAAGGCAAGCCTAGTAAGCCGGTCCCAGTGCACACAATTCCATTCCATTGATTTAGAATGGCTATTCACTGGAAGCCTTTTCATTCACGTGGCCTACACAAGGTGAGACTTAAACAAGTCTTAGTGCAAGTATTAAAGTAAAGCTGCCCTCGTCATTCAAACATGATAGTTTTGCAAACAATTCTCAGATGTAAATTTGTAACCAGAAAAAAATGCTTTCAACCTAATACAAAATGGCAGAAAGTCTAAGTAAATAAAAAAGATACATACATGATCTTTAAATAACGGGATGAGAAGCAGTATTTGGATAACGAAAAACTCTTATGCTTTGTCATCCAGTATGAGCTGCAATGATCCAAATACTGGGTGATGGATTAAGGTGACTGGAGAATTAAGAATTAAAATTGCAATCTGACTTGTGAGATTTAATTGATTCAATCCATTCACAGTTGTAGTGTTGCGCATTTTTGCATTTATACGATTGTTCTACATTTAATTTCGAGTTGATCAAATAATCAAATATTAAAATCAATCAGGATTTGTGGGCACCTGCAATCATCAAAAAGTGCAGGCTTATAAAAATAATACAAAGAACATCATATACATGTATGTATGAATAGATATTTTGAGGTAGCGGAATGATTGATATTTGACAGATAAAAGAACACATTTGAGCTATCAGTCCTCACAGCTCTTAAACCATGATTCTGAAGTGGCTTAAGACAAAGGGTGGCATTTGACAACAATAAAACCATGCAACTTCAACATCTACTTGAGACCACTCACATTTTTCTTATATATGAATGGGAAAAAAAAGCTAATTCAGACATTTGGTGGATAACAGAATAGTCAACTAAACTAGATCTTTAGATGCTGACACCATTTCAGTCATGCTACCTGTATCCAATAACAGCACTGAATAATACCATCAATAATATGTGATGGTACCATAGTATGATTGTACGCGACTACCTAGGTGCATGTATAGCTCTTAAAAGGAATGAAAATTAACAACAAATATTTTGCAAGTAGTTTAGGGCTTCATTTAAGAAACCGATGCTTATTGAGGCATGCCTTGCCTTGGAAATAATGATGACAGATCTCAATCAAATTTCAGTTTTCATGATGATCGTTTACAATGTAAAGTGTGCTATTAGTGACAGATCGTTGTGTCTTAAACATGCATGTAAGTATGCTTGTACATGGCTTCCAAATGTGGATAAGAAAATAAGGATGTGACTTTACGTTTAATTTGGTAAACGTTCAGCAAATATTTAAGGAACCATTTAAACTTTTAGCCATTTCACAAAGACTGACGCCTGCCCATAACAGTCTGCAGACCAGCGTGATTGACATGATAAATCAACAATGATTGACATAACAAGTAGCAGGCTGTCATTGAAAAGTAAAAATGTAAAGTCTACGTTTCCCCCGAATGTAATCAAGTACTCCGGTGCTTCTAGGGATTTGTAAATTAAATAAGTTGGAAAACATTGTTAATTATATGTGCTATGTTTGTTTAACTCAAAGGACGATCGCAGGAAAGTACATGTAGGTCCCTTTTTATATTTCAAGTTTTATTTAAACGTTTTGGAAAATTTGTAAACGGATTTAGAATTTGTTTTAGTTTAAACTTGAAAAGGTCCCATCCTTAACAAAAAAAAAAGTTGACATCTTTTCCTTAAACACTAAATGTATGTGATATATACTGTGAGAGTATATGTACTGTAACATTTTTTTCCATTTAAAAACAGCTATTGTTCAGAGTGGAATTGCTGCAGCCAGTGAAATCATACAAAATATTGTGATTCCATTCTACCCGTCATCACTAATGATACGGTACCTTACCAGTTTAACACTAACAAATGCATCACAACAAAAATTACATTTTGTTAAATGTGTCGTATTTTAAGGGTTTAATTTTTGTTTTACTTTTTCTTTAAGTCCAAAATTTATCACACAAAAAAGCATAAGGAGTCCGACTTGTGACAAAACAGAAATTCTTTAAAAGGAATCATATTTTCACTTGCGTTCAGATTTTCAAAGTGATCAGATTCTGTTTTGGCTTTTCTATGAGTAGTGCAACATGTTGTGTAACAAAATGTCTATTGCTTCATCTTTATCTTAACACTTTGCAGTTCATCAAAATATTGTTCTTACTTTTTCAGGCAGCAAGCCATGCAGCCAATATTTGCAAAGCCATTCTTTCAAAAACAGCAACTTTTGAACTATGTGGCTTGCCATATCTGTTTATTAGTAGTGTTTCAATGAACAGTGAAGTCAACAACCACTTCTTAAATAATCTTTAAAAGTACTCTTTAAAATTGCTGGCATCTGTATTTGTATATTTGAAATTTGTCAATGATAATACGTCATTACTAAACCAATTTGGTGTTTGGTGCTTCTTTTTTCCCAAGTTACATGAACAATAATCATCCACTACTGGAAGACTAGTTTCTGCCTCCCACAATATTCAGTCAGACTGATATATCAAACACATCATAAGGATAAAAACTAGTCCACAGCACTGGGTTGTGTTTGTTTTCTTAATTATCATTATAAAATCTTTTTTCTGTATTGTGTATTAGATATAATTATTGCATGAATTAAGAGAATTGTAATGGTGGTGGGGTAAAAGGGGCACAATAAACTTTTTCTTGAAATTTTTGTTGTTGCTTGTTTTTATATTTATCTTGAGTTTTGTGTGTGATTTACTTCGGTCTCAAGGGTCTATTTTTTCAGGTATATAATTTTGTAAACCAGTCATCTGCGCAAGACTTGTGCAAATTTTCTAAACACAGAGTTTTTTTCTCCAGATTTTGCACACTTGTTCTGTTACATCTGACATTTATGATTTTATAACTCTGATACACTCCTTAATGCAGTCGTCCTCCAAGAGTGATTATGAATAGCAAACTACCATACCTGCCCAACAAATGAAAAATCTTTTGACATCATTCCTAATGATACATGAACTATATGATGTACAAAGTACCACGGTAACAGGCACAGGACAAATGTCACACTTTGGACCCTCAACTTATAGAATGAACTGTAAATTGCAGAATCATAGAATCTCTAATGCTTCTAGTTTTGTTCTTTAGTTTGTAACAAGAAATTAGGCCAGGAGATATTGACCTATGCTAGTACATTAAATTTTAAAACAGACCTTGATTTCATGCTTTGTTTAAAGCTAGAGTCCATCATTTGCAGCCATCCGAAAAGTAACTGGCGTAATTATTGTTGAAAAACAAACTTGGTTGAAAGATAGTAAGGGAACTAACTCCTTATGAAATTATCCTTTCTGGGAGGCTGTCATTTTGAAGTAATCAACGAAAGAAGGCATTTCCAACGGTGATTCTTAAGAAGCACCGTAGAAAAATTTAAATTAGTAGTTCGTTTTGTTATTCAGCGCAGCGCGCACAAGTATTGGAACAACGCACATGCGCGCGCGGTTGTTATAATTCGTCGGATCAGTGCGCGACTCGCGTATAGCTGCAATTCAAAACAATTCAAAACATGATTCAGTATCTTTTGATTTGAAATTGAGATCTTAGAATGCTGTTTTTCTCGGAATGTACAGCTGAAGCTGAGCTGAAACTTCATCAGGTTAGTTGCTCAGTATCCTTCATTAGATTTTGAACTCTTTTGTTGCTTCAAACGAACAAAATGCACAAATTACAAATGATGGACTGTAGCTTTAAACATAAACAAATTGTAACCATCATAGTGGTTCTTGAGTCTGGAGTGCTGAATGGCAACACATGGCAACCAATCAAAACTGATATGCAAAAGATAGATGTTTTCAGCAGATGATGTAATCCCACCTCACCTTTTCTTTCCATAACACAAATGTGAAACATTATTTGCTTAACACAACACCCTGAAAGGCTGAACAAATCCTTGTCATCTGATTGGTCGCTTGTTAACTGGTATCATGAATGTAGAGCCATCAGAGCAACTAATAGTGGGACCGTGCAATGGAACTTTTATTCACTGTGCAATGGAACTTCTATTTTTGGGATGCGGCCGCCGTGCATAGCGACAAATAATTCAACAACACTTGATCAACTACCCACCAATTAGATGACGGGAATTCTAATCAGGCGTTGTATAAAACAACAAATGGTACAATGTACCAAGTCCATGTACTGAAAAACATTATCAGAGAGATTATTTGAGAAGGTGGGGTCATATGACTTGTTGCTAGTTTGTGGACATATCCCAGCCGCCATATTTGCTAGTGTTGTTGTACTGCAAAAGTTAAGCTAAAACTTCAAAGAAATGAGTGTAATAACTTTATGAGAAGCAGGTAGATTTCATCCGAAGACAACTTACTTGTGTGCAGGATTATTTGAAGGCTGCATTGACATGTAACTGCACTACTGGTGAGTTTTTAGTCAGAAAATCCAACTTCTGTGGATCAGCATTTGATAATTTATTTTTGTCATTTCTTGGCCCTGGGCACACCCCAACATTTCAAACAGGTTCCACTGGTTACACCTCTACATGTATGTTCCGACACCCCTATGTTCCGACTGCACATATTTCTATTCCTAACCCTAACCCTAACCTTAACCCTAACCCTAACCCTAACCGGGAGTAACACAATCTAGGTTGTCGGAACATAGGGGTGTCGGAACATAGAGCAGTCACCGTTCCACTGGGATGTTCTGCGAAAGCTGAAAAGGACCAAAAAAAGGCTTAAATCTCAATAATCGTGATTTGGGGAAACTTTTCCATGTAACCATTTTAAAAACAATCAACAAGATTAATTTAACTATATTAATTGCAAGGTTTACTAAATTAATTTAAAACAAAAAATTCTGATCTCAATAAATAGCATTCAAGGTTTTTAATTACTAATGCAAAATGGTGGTATAATTGTACCAGTCAAGCAAAGCCCATATAAACTTCAAAATGCTAACCCACAAATGTGTGGCGTCAATTATGTAAAAACATTTCAATAATGGATTCAATAAAAATATAAAACACAGGTCATTATAGTACATGTGCCTTATTCATTCTCAGACTAC